ACTCGGAACATCTCGAAACACGGGAAAGGTTCCCCACTAGAAAGAGATCGACCCATGATGCCCGCAGCTCGCTGAAACACGAACTCGTCCGAAAACCCTTGGATGCCCCAGCTTCGAAGAGCGGGCACAGGCTTTTCAAATGCTCTGCATTCAAGGCGTTGGCCGTTGCTTGAAGCTAAGACCCCGAGTCTTTGCGGGCACTGCACGACCAAGCGAAATACTTATTCATACATACTTCTTGGTTTCTCCGCTGCTTCTTGTTCTTCATTATTTCTCCTGTCTGCCCTGTGTCAGGCAGAAGGCTCATGTGCGAGCACGTCAATCCTGAACTTGGCTTAGAGACGGGGTTAGGAGCTTAGCCACACGGGTAGAGGCTGAAAGCCTTCTTGGACTTCTTCTCCTTTTTCTTCTTCCTCGGGACGGGCTCAGCAATTCTTGAATCGACCCGACAGCTGCGTGAGGACATCGACTGCTGCATGTCCAAACGAAACTCATACCGCAGCTTCAGCACTCTCCTTCGCTATCGAGCGTCTCACCGAACATCTCCACAAGTGCTGCCCGCTCATCCAAACGAAAGCCTGTCAATCCATGAACAGCTGTTTGCGATCATGAGGGGTTGGCCTGTCCCCCTGCCCCCGTGGCCTGGACATGGACAGCCGATGATCCCGCAGGGAGGCAGCTGATCAAAGAGATGGTCCACACCCAAAGGCAAGCCTCGGCTCTTCGGCTCCCCAGCTTAAAAAAAGGATCTTCGCGGCTACGCCGGTGTGCCAGGCAGCTCAGGCGTGGCCCGGCCCACCTGAGAAGGGGGGGCGCCAAAGCGCGAGAGAAGAGGCCCAGGACCAGCCGGCTACTTCGGATCTGATCTTTAAGACTTTGGGGTCCGGAATTCGCTGAGAAGTTACACCTGATGTCGGCCACAGGGCTGGGCAAACTCGGAGAAGTTCACGGCGCCGTTTCCGTCCTGCTGGAGATTCATGCCCACTCTGTTCATTCAGATTTGGGCTTTAGGTCTTTTAGGTTCTTGTTGGCCCTTCGGCGCTCGCACTCGGACACTCCCAGGGCAGGCATGCCCGTAACTGTCGAGGGTGAAAGCGCGATCCGTGAGCAAGAGCTGACAACCCAAAGTCACAAGCTGTAGGCAAGCCAAACGAAAACCAGGCCCTATGGACGAGCTTCATGGAGGCTTTGGTCTTTCGAGTTTTGAGTCGCAATCACACAAGGCAGCCAAGACTTCACGCCAAGCGATTTGGTTGAGCTTTGATGCCCCTACACTTTGGCAGGCCCTATCCTAAACAACGCAGCAGGAGCTCTGGAAGCAATGGTGCATCGTGAGCACTACCGTCGCTGTGCCCACTAGTGATAATTGCGAAGCAAAAGAAGCGAGCCTACGACTATCCCTCTTACAAGTGCGTCTCAGAGCGCCCAAAATAGGGATATGATGAGGCTTGCAGTGGCGGCCTCGTCCAGCCGCTCCCAGAAGTCTTCCGTGAGCGCCAGCCGCTCTCCTCTGGGCCGGGCTGGGATCTCCCAAAGACGCTTATTTTTTTTGCCTCCCACCTTGCTAAGACGCCTATGGGCGCAAAGCCTTCAGAACTCAGCTCAGGCTCAACAAATCCTCAACTCCTGGGATTTGCCTTTTTGGCCGAAACGAGGAGAGGAGCCTTAAAGAAACGATGAGAGCGACTTTTTTAACTCAAGCAGTGGAGTTGCCGCTCTCGGCTCCTTGGAGGCGCTCCAAAAGCGGCAAGGCGCCTTCCAGCTCGGCCCTGGGCGGAAAGGAATGGCTCCCCTCCCAATCCTCTCCCCCCCCTTTTCGACTGCCTACCTGTAATTTGTTGGTCTTTTCTGAGCGCCTGGCCTGGAAATCTTTCCGGAGTCATCCGCATCCACCCATCCAAAAAGAAGATGTAGCGTTGGCGGGGTGGGCCTCGGGGCAACAGGCTGGTATAAGCAGTTGCCCAGAGGCCGACGGTACTTCCAGTAAAAGCTCTGAATTATAAGTCTCGAGCTGCAGCCCTTCCTTTTCGCAGCTGCGCCGGAAGTCCAGGTCGAAAGGATGGCTCCCTGAGAGTGCAAGCAGATCGGGCCTTGGTAGCCCCTTCGCTTTCCTTCTTTTGGGAGCACGCAGAGAGACCCAGAGACGGAGCGACAGAAGAGCAGAGTTGTGTGCAGCTATCTTGAAATCCCCCGCTTTTTATCTTCTGCAGAGACCTATTGCAGCCACGAAGCAGGCTTCAAGGTGCCGCGCATCTCGTCCTGATCGTGAAATTTCAATAAACCTGGGCCTGCAGAGCAAAATCCAAGATCTAGTGAGCCTAGTGTCTGAATCGCTGCTCACCAACTCCCGTAGACTTCAGACATCTCCATCTTACACCGAGAACATCTCTACTTGAACCTCTTTGCCTCTGCTTCATCTCTGTATACTCTTGCCGTCCAGAAGCGGGCCCTGCACTTGATGCCCTCGCGGCACACTGGTCGAAATCTTGGGGCCTCAACAAAGCGGCCAAAGGAAGCCAAGGGCATCTAAGGATAACATCTGCCACACCGAAATTGAGATTCCGAAGTTGGTGCGATGGTCGTACGTGAACCTCGCAACTCTGGACGACATGATGCAAAGATCAGTCTGTCGATGCTTCTTCACTCCACAAGCTGGCTTCCCTGCTTCCGCTTCTTCCCTCCCAATCGGAGCTGAGCGAATCTAAGCCTTAGAATCGCCGAAGCTGGGCGCCCAGTTCTCGCCCCTGAAAGCAACTTTTGAGCGTTCAAGTCATACAACCCCCAGCCAAAGGCTTCGTCGCCCAAACCACCTTGAAGCATCTGATGCCCCAAGCCGGAGGACGAACTCTACTCGTGAGCCGAAGCACGGCAGGTGCTGCCACTGAGCCCCAGAGCCGTAGCTGCGGATGGCCCACGGGGAGGGCCTCTCCCAAAGCGGATGCCAGGGCAAAGGAAAAGGTCTTGTGCTCTGCTTGTCTAGTCCCAATCAAGCTAGGCCCTAGTCCTCGGTGTCTTGGAATGCCGAAGATGCCAAGCTCAGTTGCAGTCAGCTTCAAAGCTTCGTCCAACTTCAAATTTAGATCGGCCTTTTGGACGTGGTCTCCGCCACGTTGGTAGGCAACGGTGGCAATGTTGTCTTCCACACGAACCACCTGGCACACAGTTGAGGGATTCTAAATGCAACGGGATGTCCGCTCCGTGAAGTCAGAACAGTTGACATCCCGTTGCCCGGAGCAAACTCAAGCTGAACATCAGCAACCAGCGACAAAGGAGCAACAAGTCCTAGATGTTTGTCCTGTTATCCCGGGATTGTCGCGTACCAAGCCTTGCAGTGCTCCCACTGGCCGGAAGTGCTGCTGAAGACCTGACAAACCGGTCACCAGACGGAAGGCTGGAAGCGTCAGAGATTCATGCAGTAAGCGGCGGTAGGCACAGTGATTGGGAAATGGGGACTGCTGCCCCGATGGGGCTCCAGTACCGTCCTCGCGGACAGAATTGTTGCCTTTACTTTTAATTTTACGGCCTCGGCCGATGCCCCGACGGCAACTGTGGCAGGTGAGAGCACGCTGCCGCGGCCGACCTCGACATCACAACGAGCTATCTTACCTAGTCTGCGCGCATGCATGCGTAAACGAACTGCTACTTACTTCCATACAGATGTATGCTTACACATGTACATGCACATGTACCCTAAACCAATCGACTGAACACACAGGTGTAGGTGAGTATATGTATATGTATATGTATATACAAATGTATCCGTATACATAAGACATGTACCTATGTCCGCGAATGGAAGTTTAGTTAGCTATGTCTCTGTCCATGTCTCATTCAACCTGTCGATGTATCTATCTATCTATCTACCTATCTGCCCGCCTGCCCACCCATCCGTCCATCTATGTGTTCATATATTTATATATTATATAACTATGTATACATACACATGCACCTATAAACCAACAAAAATGTGTGTGCATCTCTGCATATTTCAGGTGGTCGCGTCAGCTGAGTTTGTCTAGTCGTACGCGATTTGCAGGGGTGATTCCTGAAGGCTTCTCTTAGTCTCTTTCGCACGTCCGAGCGATCAATATGAAAAATGCAGTTGAACTTCAGAATGTTTCCTACCAGCTTCGCGAAGCTGCAGCTTCAAAAGTCCGTGAACCTGGAACCTCAAGGTGGACTGACTGTTTAGCACTCGCTCTCGACCGCGTCAGGCGAGGTATGGGGAAGCCGGGACTGACTCAAGCTCATACTTTATGGAGGTCTGACAATTCGAAAGAGTATGGAAAAAGAATCCCATTTTCATCCGGATAGTCGTACTGGAACTACAACCCCCCTTGAGTCTGCATGTTCTTGCCCTGCCTCCGGCCCGGCATATCCGTGCGCCATGGCATCGGCAGTTCATGGAGGCTCGTGGCCGGGTGAAGGTCGGGGGCTCCTAGGAGCCTTTGAAGCTTCAGGGCTGCATTGCTCCTAACGCCTCCCAGGCGCTACAGCTTCCAAAGTTCGCGCACTTCTTAAAGAACCTAGTTGAACTTACCCCCCCAATCGCACCGAACTGAACTGCCAAGTCTCTGCTCAGTTTGTCACAGCTTGAAAAGAGAGTCGAGAAAAGAGTGGATTTCCGCCTCTTGGCCTCGTGCACGTGCTTGATTCCATGTGCCTCAGGCCTATGAAACATCTTGGTTACGGGCATGCATGCAGGAACGTTCCTGTGGGCCAAACTGCACGTGGAGCACATAGACCCCATGCTGCAACACACAGCCAAGCAACACATAAACACTGTATCTGAAGAAGAATCGCCCAAGCCTCTCAGCTTGTGGTAACTGGTATCTGTGCAAGTGAACCCAGCACCACCGCTTGTGAGGATAGGCGAGGTGCCTACGCAGCAATATCCTGCAAGAGTCTTCCAATCACCGAGCCTTCTGCCAATGCAGTACCAATAGAAGCGCAACGCCAGAACCAGAAAACACATCCCGAACATTCTTTGGTGGGGTCGCCTGGTTTTGACGGGAGCACCGCGGACCCAGGTCTGCTCACAGAGACCCCCCAAACCTCAGCCGCAAGGCGACTCTCAAACCATCCCCAAAACCCCAGAGCATCTCGACAGAGGACTCTAGCAGCAACCGAATGCTACAGGGAAACCCGTGTGCTAAGGACGGAGCAAATTGCGCAGTCCTTGGACGAAGGCTTCAGCTTTCAGTTGAAGGAGTCTCAAGGGCTTTCTGCCTGGAACAAGCCTCAATAGGCATGAGCCCAAGAACTGTGGGAAGCCCAAACCCAAACTCCACCCTCAGCTGCCCATCGACTTTTGCACAGTAACAAAAGCACATCAATTTTTACTTTTTGTGCTTCCTTTGCGAAGGTTTTTGTGGGTGCAATGCCATATGAATTCCAGCTTTAGGCTCCACGGCCTCGAGCTCCGGCACCTGCAGGAAGGCGCCTTTCACCCCCGGGCCCTGGCGCTCGAAGCCTCGGAAGAGCTCAGAGCCCCCTCGAAAAAGGAGGGGCTCGCTCTCTCTCGCTCGGCTTTTTAGGTCTCTTCAAGGTCTTGCAAACCCAGCAACAAAAATCTTCATTCAGGATGATCCGTGATCTGAGCTTCTCTTTCCTTTCTGGACCCGGGGCCTCAGCCTCAGCCCCTTTTTTTGGGGTCCTGGCTGAGGACGCTCTCTGGCGTTGGCTTCGCAGGCACGGTAAAGCCCTTTTCTTGCTGCAGATGTTGTTCTGGCACATGCATAAAGCGCCGTGGGCGCTTCATGAAGACACTTTTGCCAGCTACATGTGCTCTCCGAATCTGCAGCCGTGCCTTATTTGGGTCTCCGACGAACCTTTGCGGAGCCCCTCAAAGAAACCCTGCAGACCCCCACTAGGAAATGAAACACCTCGAAGTCCCTCCCCAAAAAACGCGGAAACTCACATAGCTCCCTCTCCAGAAAGCTTGCTCCCTGAGCCATGGTACTCGCCACCGCCTCGGCAGCATCGCTCTGCTTGGCAGAGGCCGGGGCCGTGCTCGGAGGAGGCAGGTTGTGAAGGCAGCCTGACGATTCGAGTGCTGCACCTCGAACCCTGAAGCTTGTTCTGTTCTTGAATGAAGCTTAGTTTCTTCAAATTCTGTCGGGGGCCTCTACTTCTTCGTGCTATGAGGCCTGTCCGGTATCGGAAGGAAGTCGACTTGGTGGCCTGCCCAGGTTGCCAGCCGGCGGAGAGCCTGGCAAAGCGAAATGTCAGCACGACGGCCTCTATAAATGTCTCCTAGGGCCTAGGGGATCTGAAGGAAGCAAGGCTTCAGTTGTAGGAGGCTGGAGAGGAGACGATTCTCAGTGCCCAGTGCATTTCAAAGAGCAGCTCTGTCCTCCAGCTGCTCGGCCGGAATCGTCGCTCCCTCGCCGGCGGGGCCCTTTCTCCATGCCAGCCGCACTGTGCCTTCCCACCATCGGCGCGATGGACAACGCAGTCTGAAATCGGGACGTCTACACAGACTGTGATCTCGCGAATGTGCATTCACACAGAACATGTAATATTGACAAAAAAGAGGCCCTGAAGGCGCACAAGCCTTTACTGCACCAAAGAGCCCGCAAGAGCTAAGACTCCATTAAAGTTGAAACAGAGCCATAACAGACTGTGGAGCGAGATGCTGAGTATAAGACAGACAACAAGTGAAACTGGAGCAACACAAGCCTACAAGTGGGAAGTGCTCAACTGCGCCATAGAGTGCAAACTTGCAAGGCAGCTTGGCAATTATATTCAATTGCTTTTCACAAATCGGAGTCAGCTCAAGAGGCCTCTTTTCTGTTGCAGCGTGCCTCCACTTGGGGAAAGGAGGCTACGAGCTAAAGACTCTGAAATGCCAGCAATGCCCACCTGCACCTCCTTCTGTGCTGCGCTCGACGCAGCTCAGGGCCTGGATGGAGTGCTCTGCGCCTGAGGCAGGAAAGGCCAAAGATCACAAACAGCCGTCTCAAAGACAAAAGTGCACGTCTCCGAAGGGGCCGGGACCCGCCGTGCGCTGAGCAATCTCTACTCTGGGCTTGACGGTTTCTCTGCCCCACTTTGTCAGGTCCCAGGGGCCAAAGGTCTGCTCGTTCCGCAACAAGGCCCAGCATCGGAGGCAGCCTGGCCCCGAAGCGGAGAAAGGGAAAAGGGAGCTCTCTTCTGGGCTCTTTCGGGCATGGCCTCGATTCTCACCAGGGGCAAAACGGAAAAGCGTTTCCGACTTCAAGCAGCGGAACCTGTCCGTCGCAACGGGATCAGCTTCTCTTGTTTGGGCATCTTTCTGTCTTTAAGGCAAGGCAAGGGTTGAGCCCCTCATGAGCCTTAGCCGCCTTAGCCTTAGATAGCTGGTAAAGGAGATGGATATCTCCTAGCATTTCGGAGGCGGATCTGCTAGACTTGCTGCGTCCCGGTCCAGTTTGGAATCTCCGGCGCTCGATCGTGAAGCGGAGCACCCTCGCGTCTAAAGTCTGCAGGCAAGCGGCTGCACAACTTTGCAGCTGGGTTCATCAGCCTCCGGTCTTTATGGCCCCACTCCGGCAAGGCTTCTGCAAGTTCGTGTTCGATATTCGGATCACTGGGACTTCTGACCTGTCTCGATTGCTGGCGCCCCAAGCGCCAAGACCGACGAACGAAGGTCGGGCTCTTACCATTAGGGCAGACAAAATGTCTCACGACATGCCAGAATGTTCCCAGTCCGCGGATTTGACTTCCAAGGAACACTTCGAGGAATTTCAGCTTGACGAAGCACTTTCCTGGAAGTTTCACTGGATCGCAGCGGATCGCGTGTATCTCGCATGCTTGGCAGACTGGGAGTTGAACATGCAGCTCCTACAGCAGATCTCCCTCCTCCCTCCCAGTTTGCGAACTACTCATAGTCCGAAGAACTCTACCCAGAACAACCCGATCTGCGCATGTCCTGCCAGTCCCCTTCCATGCAGCTGGCAGCTCGCAGTCCTCGCAGGGAGATGAGAGCCACGGCTCAGGCTCGCGAAGGAGTGCTGCCTGGGATGCCCTGGGGTGCCCTGGTCTCCTCGTACGACGATCTTTCTCGAAGGGTGCCAAGGCAGTAAAGGCACGATGAGGCAAATCAAAAGCGACAGCTCTTTCCGGGAAAGCCGTCTGTCTGCCGCTAGACTTCAAGAGCATTCGGGCATCCTCGGGTTTAAGAGGCTAGAGTCTTGGTCCCATCCGAGGCCCGGTCCATGGGAAGCGCGGCAACTGCAACGTGATGGCCGATGGAACCTGCAGGTTTTTTTGGCCAATCTTTGGAGGAGCTTTCTGTCAAGGGCCCTAGATGATGAAGTGCAGCTGCCAGAGAGGGCCGTGAAAGCTCAGGCTCCATTCCCAGCCTTGCACTTCAACCTCGACGCCAAGGCTTCCATTGACCACACTGGGCGACACAGACAGACCTAAGAAACGGTGCCGCAGATGCAAAGAAGGTTAGTTTATCGCTGTTGTGGCCGCATCCCAAATTCTGCTGAAGTGGCTCAGCTGCTCCTTGCCCGTGTCGCAGCGAGAATAGGCGACAGGGACTCCTTCAGATGTGAGGTCTGGTTGAGATGGTGCTGTAGTGAGACTTGCGGCTGCGGTTCTGCAGAAGCATCTTAGACCCTTCTGGTAGAATCGGTCATTCCTCTTTGCAGCGCCGCATTGTTGCTCCAGTCGTGAATCTCTTTGCGAAGCTTGAGAAGCGTTTCTACCTAAGCTCAAAGCCAACATTGCAAGGCTGGCTCTGGATGGCTGCTTTGGCAAACTTGCAGAAATTGCATTTGCAGCAAAGCGGCGGCGCATTTGGCACAAGCATCCTTGAGTTCCAGAATCCCGGGTGGCACTTTTTGTTCAGAGGTGTCCCATTGGGCCCGAGCACCGAATTCAGCTCGACAAAGGGCCCTTGAGAACTTGAGGCCTTCAGCCCCGAGGGCCCCGGCACCGGCCACTTGCAGCTTCGTAGCGTAGCCAGTCCGCTGCTCAAGCAGCTTCGAGTGGTCACGCGCATTGTCCTCATTGACCTGGGCTCCACAGGCGGCATCGGTCATACTGTCCAGCCCGGTACACCAGAAGTGGGAGCAGCCCGAACCAATCACAACCCGGAGTAGACCCGGCGCTTTCAGGCGCAAATGATCCTACCCAAGGTCTGACTGCTTATGGTCCGGTCCCAGAGGCATGCTGGTAGCCAGTGCGAAGATCCGGATTTAAGCAGACGTCGCACTGGTATCCGCCGTGCTGCAGCCACGCCTCATCTCTAGTTTCGCTCTTCTGGCAGTGACATGGCAGTGCCCAGTAGTCTCTTGTACTGCGATTACCGACAACCTTTCGATGAGCAAGGTGATGCCTTCGCTTCACTCCAGGATCACTCACAAAGGCGATGGTGTCCCCCATTCACGGATTGCTGCCCGCTACGATTTAGGCCCGCTCTCTAAGACATTCGGGCATTTGGTGACTTGGGTGTTACCTCGAAATATCTTGAGTGACATCGCCGGACTGAGTTTTCGCTCATGGGCATGGCTGCAAGTTCAATCGGCAGAAGCACGTTCAGAGGCCTCTGTCCGTCTGCCGATGGCTACTATTTCGGCTATTTGGAAAGGTGCGAACTCCAGTGAAAGTCTGTCAACACTGAACCCAGCAAAACGAGCCCCGCAGGCATTTTGCACTGCGGACACAAGCCAGCCTGGTGCGGCCGAGTGGCAGGAGTGGGGAGCGGGTTCATCCAATGCAGCCTGAGCATTCAACAGGAAGGGGCGCGTGCCAGTTTCGGAGGGTAAACATGTTGGGGAACGACGAGAGATATTCCATGTTGTCGCATGGGCTGAAGGCTTCAGCTTGCAGTGGTGTGATGACGCTGGGAACTTTCGTGGGACGTGCCTTTCAAAATTGCTGAAGGTACCCCGCAGGCAGGGTTTGTTGGACCTCCAGGATGTTGCTGTCACGGCTCGGTAACTCATTACCCGCTTGAAGCCGCTAGAAGCTGTATGTCGCGTAGAATGAGGATACGACGATATGATACAACAACAGAAGAGACAATCTGCAGCAGAGTTTCTGGAGACTCCAGATTCCAGTCAAGCGGCCGAATCAAACCCTCTTTCTCATGCTGGATCATGATCTGCTCCACCCCTTCCAGCATCGTTCCCAACCTGCCAGATTCAGAAACTCTGCTAGGTCTCTGCAGGGCGCCACCCTGCATCAACATGAAATCGAATTAGCCCTCTGGCTCAAGCACGCGGAAAAACACCCGGGTAGCTGGGGACTTCGGCATGGATTCTGACAGACTCAGACTCTCTAAGCATCACGCTTTCATGGAAACTCTTCGCACCTTGCAGTTCTTTTTTTGGTGCAGCTGCACATGTACATCTATTTGTGTATTTGTGTTCCTCAAGAACGAGTACTCCACATGCCCTGCAATGCGCCAGCAGAATCCCATCGAGACATCTCCGGCTTGCAGTAAGTGCTAGTATTAATTGGAAGGCTCGGGTGTCAGCCGAAAGTGGGAGACCAAAAACCAAGAGACAAAAGCACAATAATAAGTGAAGAACACACCGGATGCGCATAGAATCGCATAATTACCAAGAGCGACAACGACAGTCGCTGAGCTCTGCTTGCTGGGGTGCTAGAGCTTTGCTTGAGCCGCGTTGCCTCTCATCCTTGAGCGGCTCCTTGGGCCAGGAGTGACGAAAATCCAGAGACCTGCGTGAAGACTCGGACATGCCTGAGACGGCGCTATACATGCCAACGTGCATCTACAGTTGCGGTCGCAGTGTGCATAATCTGTAACTGTAAGCTTGGCCGTTCAGGACATCTGAGCATCAGCTGTGC